CGAAGTTCATATTATTGGGCTCCAAACGTCAAGTAACTGATATTAATGCACGTAAACCACAAATTGTTTTGTCTGGAAATCATATAGAACAAGTGACATATGCACGAAATTTAGGTCTTGTTATGGACGAGAGATTACAATTCGAAAAACATATATTGGATATCATGCGTAATTGTTTTTACAGACTAAAAGTACTGTACTGGCTGCGTGAATTCTTATCTGTTGATTTTCGAATCAAACTGTGCGAAGCGTTAGTGTTGTCTAAGTTTAATTACTCTGATAATGTGTTTGGGGAGTGCCTTTTTGCTCGAACTAAGAAAATGATACAACGTATCCAAAATGCATGTGCTCGATTTTGTTTTCCTATTGCTCGTCGTGCTCATATCACTCCCTTTTTGGAACAGAATAACTTGTTAAATATGACAGCACGTCGAAATTTACATTTTGCTTCATTGCTTTTTGGCGTAATACACAGTAAAAAGCCCTCATATCTGTATGATAAATTAAATTTTTCAAAGCGTAACATAAGAATAAATTCTCTTTTACTTTGCCCACGATACAGAACAGCTGCTTTTCGTGGTAGCTTCCAGTACGCTGCTACGAAATGCTGGAACAATCTTCCACCGCCAGTTAGGAACGCCAAATCATTATTCACCTTTAAAAAACTATACAAGAATTATCTATGTACTATTTAACCTATAAATCTTACGGCAAAGTAGTTGTATATATATTTAATGTTTATATTTATTAATGTTATTTTATTCTATTTTGTTATTTCTACTATATGTAATTGGTTTGTATTTATTAGTTGTAATTTTGTTTTAATTATTATCATTAATATTTTAAATAGTGCCCTCTCTCTCTCCCCCTTTTATATATATATTTTTGGTGCCACTGAAAACCAGCTGTATGTTCACCTAGGACATACATTAAAGCTGAGTGGAGCCATTTCAGTGCATTATTGGATGTAAAAAATGTTTATTTTATGTTTATTTTTTAATTATGGTAAATTAAGTTTAATTATATGTACATTTTATTTGCTCTTTTTTTTCGTTTGTTGTTTATATTGTATTTTTTACATTGCACTGAATAAAATATTTTTCTTTCTTTCTTTCTTTCGTCCTCGGTGTGGATTCCGCGGTCGTACGAGAGAAGCTTTTCCGGGAGGACCCGGGGCAGCTTAAATTGACGCGAGCTGTGGAGATAGCGGGAGCCGTAGAGAGCGCGCAACAGGTCGCTTGTTCGGAGCTGGCAGCACTCAACGTTAAATCAGAGGCCATGCTATATTCGGCAGAGCGGCCAGGTCCGCCCCGCGCGCCTGCCGGCGGCAGGTCAGCCGGCAACGGGACCGGCGGCGGTGGCAGTAGCAGCGGCAGCGGAGGCCGCGCAAGCGGCGCGACCCCACGCTGCGCCGTCTACGGCTCTAAGTCGCATGTGTCTTCTGAGTGCGGTTATCGTAATTTATCATGTGATAATTGTGGCATTAAAGGACACCTCAATCTTGTGTGTACTTCAAAAAATGTACGTGTGATAAACCACAATAGTAAATCACGTGTAAATAAACGGAGTGAATGGCGAAGTAATTTCATTAGTGAAGGTGCCAACGACAGCGAAGTTAGTGACGATTGTGTGTTATTAAATAATATTAGGTGTTCTGAAGGCACCCCCATGGCGGTGGCAGTGACCGCAGGTGGGAGGTCGAAATAAATACGAACTGAGATTCTTGTTAGTTCTTCTCATCTCGAAATCATTCCGAAGTGACAGTAAATTTAGCATATCATAGGAGTCGGTAATAGACCTACATGAATAAAGATATTTAGAATTTTGAATGAGTCACGACTATTCATACAGTAGATCGCTCAAATGTCACGTTTTTGTAATATGAATATATTTTAAATATCTGCCGCTTTTCCCCATAGTCATATTCCATAAGACAGTAAACTATGAGAATAACTAAAATAGACCAATCTAGCAGTATCAGTATCAGTGTACTGTCTAACCTTACGCACGGTAAAAGCTGCTGAACTCTGTTTCACTGCAAGACATTGAATTTGTGCACCCCATTGTGTTTTATTATCTAGTGTGATTCGTAGAAAGACAGTAGATTCTATAAATTCGAGAGATTCGTCATTTAATTTTATGTTGCAATTAGTATTAAAACTTTTAGATAGAGAAAAATTAACACGTTTTGTTTTTTTAGCGTTTAACATAAGATTGTTAGTTGTAAACCAGTGCAAGAGACGCCGCAAAGCACTATTTACATCGTCAAAATTATTAGTCATTCCATTAAGTTTAAAAATCAATGAAGTATCATCTGCAAATTACACTATCCCGCATCTATGCATGGGATATGGGAGATCATTTATGTATACTAGGAATAAAAATGGACTGAGAATAGATCCTTGAGGTACACCCATTTGCACAAGTGACCCATCAGACGTAGCGCTGCTAACCTTTACTTTCTGTATTCTATCAGATAAATAAGATTTTATTAAATTTAAAGCGTTGTCTTTGACGCCATAAAAAGCAAGTTTTTTCAATAATGTGTTATGATCAACGCAATCAAAAGCCTTAGAAAGGTCACAAAAAACACCTATCGCATCCATTTTATTTTACCATGCAACAAATACATGTCTGAGCAACTCTGCACCTGCGTCTGTAGTTGAACGACCTTTGGAAAAACCAAATTGACTATTGTGAATTAAATTATTTAAAATGAAATAACTGACAAGTTGCATTAGGATTATTTTTTCAAAAAATTTACTGAGCGCTGGGAGTATGGATATAGGTCTATAATTTATTGAGTCAGTCCTGTCTCCAGATTTAAAAAGTGGAATGATTTTACTAATTTTCATACATTTATTAAAAATAAAAGCAAGAGACGGCGCAATAATTTCCATTATACTATCCAGTATTTCAACAGATATACCCCATAGATCCTCTGTTTTTTTATTATTTAGCTGTTTAAATATTTTCATTATTTCTACTGATGTTGTGTGTCTAATGTTAAATACAGCTGATCACTTGCTAACATTGTCTGTTAGTGAAGTTTCAGCAGCAGACGGGGAAGATTTTAGAGCCTGTGTCGTAATTAATGGAATATTAGTAAAATAGGATTCGAATGTATCCGCGACTTCTGTGTCGGAATTTACCAATTTGTTATTAATATATAAAGCTATTTTGCTATTTTGAACATTTACTTTTCCAGTTTCGCTATTTATTACTTTCCAAGTGGCTTTTATTTTATCTTTAGATTTAGTTATTATTTTACCCAAATAGAGAGACTTAGCTGCCTGACAAACCCTTTTAAATATTTTGGAATAAGATTTTACGTATTCATGAAATAGGGGATCGGATATATAGCTTCGTTTTTCGTAAAGTTCGTAAAGATTAGCCCTAGATTTATAAATATCAAACGTGGCCCAATCATAAAACTTTGATTTTACATTAGTTGAAAATGTTTTTGGTTTAAATTAATTGCTAGTTTCTTGCTCAATTAAATTAAAAATATGTTCACATACGATGTCCGGGTCATATTAAAGTATTCCGAGACTAGATATTTTATGTTCAATTTTATTTTTAAAACGTGCCAAATTCTTTTGTGTTATTTGTCTGCATGTAATTGTTTGAGTCCCTTTGAACCCCTTATTTTCAATTATAATGTTTTGCCCATAATAATCAAAGCCAAGACAGTCGAAATTAATTTTCACCTTTACTTCACAATTACAGAAAACATTATCTATACAAGTGGTAGAATTTCTGCAACCCTAGTGGGTTCTAAAAAAGATTGTGCAAATCAAATGATTTAAATAAGTTAATTAATCTTAGGCTTATTGAGCATCTCGATAATAAATCAACATTAAAATCGCCACATACAAATATTGTTTTATTCACAAATTATTATATAAGTAAAAATTATATCCAACCGTCCCACCAGAATCAGTTGAACATTGATATCTCATCCGTCATGGAACCAGACGTTTTATGTTTACCCATACTATAATATAAAAACAGTACAAAAGTAAATAAATACAGCACTGTATATGAACCCATCAGGAGAACAATTATTTATTCAGATGAATTTGCATAGGATATTAGGTAGTTTATTATCGAATTGCCTATCGCAACAAGTAATAAATAATTGCAACAAGTAATAAATAATTGTTTTCCGGGATCAAGTATATATAAGATTATAAAAAATATAGTAAATGAAAAATATGACATTCACACGACCCTGGTAATAGCGTTAGGGAATTGTTTGCATATGTGTAAATCAGATATAGTTAATTTAATAAAATAATTATATAATATAGTGGAGCTTGGTATAGGTAAAATATTATTATCCAGCGGCGTCAGCGCTGCTGCGGTTCCTATCATCACCGTGGAGGAGTTCGCCGCGGCCGTGGATAAACTCCGGGGCAAGAATGTCGCCCCGGGTCCGGATGGTATCCACGGCCGCGTCCTGGCCTTGGCCCTAAACACCCTAGGGGACCGACTCCGGCGCTTGTTCAACGCGTGTCTGGAGGATGCCAAATAGCTTCCCTAACGCTGTACGCAGATTAAAAGGTATAGAAAAGAAAATTATGTTAAATACGGAATATGGTAACAGGTATGTCGAACGTGTTAATCATTTATTACAAAATGATTATGCCAGAGAGTTGGAAGACTGCAGTGTCTCGCCACGGACATGGTACTTACCACATTTTGGGGTAGACAACCCAAAGAAAAAAAAACTACGTCTGGTCTTCGATGCCGCAGCTGGCACAAATGGTTTGTCATTAAATGACTATCTACTGAAGGGGCCGGACCTACTTACATCTCTGTTCGGCATTATGGTAAGATTTAGGGAGAACAGAGTAGCGGTGACCGGCGATATAAAAGATATGTTTTTAAGGATAAAGGTAAGAGAAGAAGACCAGAACGCACTCAGATTGCTGTGGAGAAGCAGTCCTGCAGAACATGAAAAACCGTACGTGATGACGTCATTAATATTTGGCGCGAAATGTTCACCGTTCATAGCTCAATTTATTAAGAATAAAAACGCACTAAGGTATGAGTCATCGATGCCAAACGCCGTAGCAGCGATATGTAATCAACATTATATGGATGACTACATAGACAGTTTGCCAGACGAGGCCGCCGCCATAACAATGGTACGTAATATTAGTAAAATTCACAAATCAGGTGGTTTTCATATTTGTAATTGGACTAGCAACAGTCCAGCCGTATTGGATAGTATTCCAAAGGAGTCCTTGGGTACTACGGCCGTAAAGTTCAAAATAGATCAAGAATGCGAAGGTGAACGTACGCTCGGATTGATATGGTACCCGCGCGAAGACGAGTTGGGGTTCGATGTGTCTCTCAAGCGCATACCACATGACATAATTAATGGTAAGAATAGACCAACAAAAAGAGTTATGCTCAGAGTCATAATGTCAATATTCGATGTATTTGGATTCTTATCGCCATTTACTATACAAGGTAAAATAATGTTGCAAGATACCTGGTGCGCTGGAATCAGCTGGGACGACTTAGTAACAGATGACATACATAAAAAATGGTGTCAGTGGGTCAATGTACTAACGAGTGAAATAAAAAATATCCGTCTGCCGAGGTGGTATCAAGCAGCGACGAGTGAGTCAGCGATAAAACGTAGCACATCAGTTCAGGTAAACATAACCTCTCTCACCTCTCTTACATCTACAAGCGTAACCAAACGCGCTATCGGCTACGAAACTGGCGTAGCTAATAGCTGCGCTACGACATCCCGCTGCAATGACGTAGTTACAGGCGCTACGAAACAGGTTTTGGCTGGAAGTGAATATAGTAATTTAGAGTTACACTTGTGTTGCGATGCGTCGACTAAAGCAATGTGCGCAGTCGCATACTGGCGATGGTACGTAAATAAAGATATATGTATGTCATTCATAGCTAGCAAGTGCCGTGTCGCGCCCGTGAGTCATACTACCGTGCCGCGTTTGGAATTGCAAGCTGCTTTATTGGCTGCGAGGTTGGCAGATACAATAATCAGAGAACACAAAATAAATCCAGTAAGGCGTTATTTTTGGTGCGACTCTAGTACCGTGCTACACTGGATATGTAATAAAACGTACATAGCAAACCGGCTGGGTGAAATAGACGAGCTAAGCCGCCCTGAGGAGTGGCGGTATGGACCTACAAAATTAAATGTTGCTGATCTCGCTACGAGAGAAAATTACGACGATTCTCTTTTTAAAAATGAATGGTTTAGAGGTCCGTCATTCTTATACAGCGATGAGTCATCGTGGCCGGTGAATATGATCGATAAGATAAATGAAATGAGTTTAGAACGAGTAATGATAATACAACATGAAGATTGTAGCTTACCTGTACCTGACCCAGGAAGATTTTCATGCTGGTTACGACTGGTGAGGGCTACGGCATGTATTCTAAAATTTATATACAAGTGTAGAAAGCAGATTGAGACTGTTTGCACAGTCATGAAGAGGGCTGAGCGATTGCTGCTAAAATATACACAAGAACAGTCATTCGGTGATGAAATAGCTGCAATTAAAAATGGTAACTGTTTGTCAAAAGGTAGTAAGTTACTTACGTTATCTCCATTTCTGGATGAGTACGGGATTCTCCGTGTCGGCGGCCGCATAGATGCTGCACCGGATGTTGAACCTGAAATGAAGAGACCTATCATCTTGGACGGGCGTAGTCAGGTATCTCAATTAATTGTTAGATACAACCATGTGAAGACAGCCCACGGGAACCAGGAAACCGTTATAAACAACCTGAAACAGAAATATTGGATTATTAGAATACGTCCAACCGTAAAACATGTAGCATATAAATGTATGTTTTGTAGAATAAAAAGAGCAAAACCACAGGTACCGAGAATGGGAGAGCTGCCTGAAGCACGACTGGCTCATCATCAGCGTCCTTTCACACACTGTGGTCTGGATTTGTTTGGACCCATGGAGGTCACTGTGGGGAGACATAGAGAGAAAAGGTATGGAGTTTTATTTACTTGTTTGACAGTCCGTGGAATCCACTTAGAACTGGTGTCATCACTTACCTCTGACTCCCTCATTATGGCTCTTCGTCGAATGGCAGCAAGACGGGGTTGGCCTCGTATGCTGTACTCTGATAATGGTACAAACTTGAGAGGCGCTGATGCTGAGCTGAAGAAGTCTATAAATGAGGTAGATTTTGATAGGCTAACAAATGAAGCAGCTAATATTGGAGTGGAATGGACCTTCATCCGCCTGCCAGTCCCCACTGGGGTGGGGCATGGGAGCGACTTATTAGGAGTGTCAAGACTTCACTTAGGGTAATTTAAAAGAACGTGCACCACGT